CTGTGTTGTTTGTGTGTTCTTTTGGGGGGGTGGGTCTGGGGGGCTTTGGGCTTCCTGAGGAACCGTCCTCCTCGAGGAGTTGGCGAACCTCCCAGTGGTGACCCCCCTTGGCACTACCTGTGATCTTCCCTGAGAGCGGCTTCCCGTCCCGATTCTTTGTTTGACGGCCCCAGGGCCGGGAAACGGCCTACACGTCGGTTGGAATAAGTGGGTACCAACGTGAAGTAGCAAGGCGTCGGAAGCAGGTTGGGCTTGCGCCCCCTGAAGAGGAAGGAAAAGGAACAAGCACTCGACGCTCGAAGTAGAAAGGCGCCCAAAATATATCGGGATCTGGGAATCCAGAAGTACCCACTCTCAACGACAGGCGTGTATACGTGAAACATTTGTCCGTTGCTTTGTTTTTTCTTTTGGGGGGGGGGGGGGCGACGCCTGGATCTGAGGCTCGGCCCCCCCCCCGTCCTTCTCCGAGTCATGTCTTGACTTATGTCGGGCGTGTCCGGCCGAAGCTCTCGAGCCCCAGACGGCCGTGCGGGACCATCCCCGCAGGCCTGCAGGCCCTGACGGCTCACGCCGGGGCGGAGCTGCGGGAAGAGAGAACCCCTAAAGGCCCGAAGATCAGGGGGACGTAAGACCCATTTGCAAGAGTTTCAAACATTTGCAAGAGTTTCACGGATTGAAGGCAGGTCGTTTCCAAAAGGCGATGTGGAGTTCGGAAGACTTGTTTGGAAGGAATTCGGATTATGATGGCGCAACAGTTACGTTGATTCGCGGTGTTAGAGCCCCAGGAATAGCGTTCTGGCCCGATGCAGGATCGTCAAGACGAAACATTCCTGTTTATCAGTGGCGTTGAAACCCCGAGAACCATGTTTTGGCATGCTTCAGGGTCTTCAGACGGTTGTATTCCAACGAGGCAACTCCCTCAATTCAGAGGGGGCGTAAGACCTGGGTACAGGGGACTCGGAAATCCCCGACGAGGTCGTCAAGAAAATGACGAGGCCGAGCCTGCATTTGGACGAGGCCTCCCGCTGCAGACATCCAACGAAGCTCCTCCTCGTCAAAATCCGAGGCGCGGTCGTCAAAAAACGATGGCGAACCCGAGTCCTGGCAAACCCGGGTCTTACGCTCCCCTGAGGAGAGCTTGATCTCGCCATCGCTCGGACGTCCGTTCCTCGTGCACGTTTCGGCTCCGTGCGATTCTTGCTTCTTCTTTTCGCGCGCGATGATCCTAATTAGATGCCTCTCGATGGTCCTCGCCGAGAGCAAGAATGCGCACGTCCGAGGGACGCCAAGTGATCGATGGAACCGCCAGAAGCACCGACCCCCCCTCTCCTCCGACCTTCCAGGGGGGGCCCGCAACCGGCACCGGGGCCTGCCATCTGCTACAGTGGGAGCGCATGCGGGAGGAAACGCGACAGGACACGAGACTCCTCCGACGGCAACATGGCAGGACACAGGGGTACCCTCAGTCCGAACACGCAGAGGACATGAGAAGGGATGGACAGTACACGAGAGTACCCTTGATTGTGCAGGGTCGACCTGCCAATGCGCGCCGACTGTGAGTCAGAACCTGTTTGGTTGCAGTCCCTGGTCTCGGGAGCGCGCAAACATGGATTAACGATCCATGGATTTGGCGCGCGGTCGCCAAATCCATGGTTCGGGGGAAGTGCCCTCCCCAAAGTGCGGCCGGCGCCGCCTCGCTCGGCGGCGGAAATCCGCGATTTCCCATGAAAAAAGGAACCCGTCGCTAATCCACGCCACCTTGATCCGTGTTTGCGATCGCCTGATGTAAGAAGGTCAGCGTTCTCCCCCCCTCCCCTCTCCTCCGGCGTGGCAGCTTTTTCGTGGCCCGGGGCCCCCCTGGGGATCTCGACCCTGGCAGCGCCAAGGGGGCTCACCACCGGGGGTTTTGGCAGCTCCTTCCGAGGAGCGAGCCTTGAGGATCCAGAGCCGAAGAGTTTCTGTGTTGTTTGTGTGTTCTTTTGGGGGGGTGGGTCTGGGGGGCTTTGGGCTTCCTGAGGAACCGTCCTCCTCGAGGAGTTGGCGAACCTCCCAGTGGTGACCCCCCTTGGCACTACCTGTGATCTTCCCTGAGAGCGGCTTCCCGTCCCGATTCTTTGTTTGACGGCCCCAGGGCCGGGAAACGGCCTACACGTCGGTTGGAAGAAGTGGGTACCAACGTGAAGTAGCAAGGCGTCGGAAGCAGGTTGGGCTTGCGCCCCCTGAAGAGGAAGGAAAAGGAACAAGCACTCGACGCTCGAAGTAGAAAGGCGCCCAAAATATATCGGGATCTGGGAATCCAGAAGTACCCACTCTCAACGACAGGCGTGTATACGTGAAACATTTGTCCGTTGCTTTGTTTTTTCTTTTGGGGGGGGGGGGGGGCGACGCCTGGATCTGAGGCTCGGCCCCCCCCCCCGTCCTTCTCCGAGTCATGTCTTGACTTATGTCGGGCGTGTCCCCCTACAGGGGGATTTTCGCAGAAAAACAGAAATACCCCAAAGATGCCCTACAATGTCAGAAAATACTCAACACATAGTCCTTAGACTATTTTTGGACTATTGTTTGACTATCATTGGGGTACTTTTTATTTTTCGTCGGAATCCCCCTGTAGGGGGACAGGCCCGACTTAAGTCTTGACGGCCCCGAGGCCGGGGGATGATCGGGCGGAGAGAAGCACAAGACCAGCCGCCGCGCGACCGACCCTGCTGCGGGGAGGCACGACTTCTCTCTGCCCGCGACCTTCGAGGCTGGGCTGCTGGCCAAGATCTCGAAGGTTTGGACGCCCGAAATGGGTACGGAGAGAATGGGTACAATGTCCAACAACAAATGTTGTGCCAAACCAACAGCGGCCGCTGTTGGGGCACAGGCCGCGGCGGCGTGGACAACGAATCCTGTTCAAAATGAACAGGAACTGCTGTTGAGCATTGTGCCCATTCTTTCCGTGCCCATCTCGTTCGTGCAGACAAGGGGGGGTCCCGCCGCGGCGACGAGCAGCTCCCCGCCTCGAGGCCCTGAACAGTCAGACAGCACTGCCCCCAACAGGGTGCGAAACCAGGATCGGGACAAGATCGGATCGAGTAGCATCCAGGGATCTCTGAGATCTGGGGGCTCAGGAAGGCTGTGTCGGGCGCCGCGGCCGTTCCAGAGCGCTCGGGGACGCTTCGAGAGCGTTCCGAGATGCTCTGGAGCGATCTATTCGGGATGGAGGAAGCGGGTCCTGAGGGAGACGTGCCCTGGACCCCGGGCACCTTCCCCCAGGACCAGTCGCTTTTCCCTCTGAGTCGTTTTCTCAAAGGGTCCTGGGGCCTGTGGAGGGCCCTGGGCAGCGACACACCTCAGGACCTTTGTGGGCCCCGGAAACGGCAGGGCTTTTTTTTCACCGTTTCCCCAAAAATGTCCCTTTGAAAATGGAAACGGCAAAAAAACGGCGACCGGAAACGGCAAAAAAACGGCTCCAGGATTGGAACCGGAGCCGGAACCGGTCAAAAAACGGCGACGGAACCGGTAACAAAAAACGGCAAAACGGAACCGGCAACAAAAACGGCAAAACGGAACCGGTGAAAAAACTGCCCTGTCGTTTCCAGGGCCCACTGAGCTCAGGAGTGGCGGTCCGTCCTGGCCCTGGGCCCGCCCGACACGGCCGCCATCGGCCATCGCGCCTCGAGCCTGGGAGCGCCGGCGACGACGGCCGGCCCTGGCGCGACTGCCGGGTCGGGCGAATCGGGGGGGGGACAGCAAAGGGGGGGCTTGAGAATCAGCTCGCGTATAGCCGATTTGCCCGGCGCCTCCCGGCGCCTGGAGGCGCCCGTGTACAGAGGGATGGGCCCGGCGGCGGGGCCGAAACCCAGCTGCAGGCCGCAGATTGCGTAACCCCCCCCCTTTCCCTGTCCCCCCCCCTCTCGTTCGGCCCGAGACTGGGGGGCGCTGCCGATCGCGGCGTGCGCTGCCGCAGCAGCGGCCCGCGGGCCCTGGTCTGCTTGAAGTGGCCCCAGGACACACAAATAAGTACACCCACATAAAAGGATTCCCAACATTTTCTTCCCATATTTTCTAAGTTTTTGTCTTCCCACCCACTTCCCATATTCTCCCCTACTTTCTGGGGAGTCGACGATGAATTGTGTCTGTGTGTTTTTTCCCCTCCTGACTGCTCCCCTCCCCGCGCCCCCCCCCGAAGGCCGCGCAACCAGAGGCCGCTCTGGCGCAGGGCCACCCTCCTGCGTGCAGCCCGGCCCTCCGGGCCCCAGGCCCGCCCCCTCCTCGGCGCGGCTCTCTTACCCGGAGACGGGGTGTGCGGCAGCCGGCGCCCTCTCCCCGGAGAAGGGGCCACACATGCGAACCCTGCCCCTCCCCCTCGGAATTCGTGCGCGGCAGGGGCAGGGTTCACATGTGGTCCCTTAATGGGCGGCCCCACGGGTTCCAGCCCTCTCTCCGCGGCCGCCCTCTTCTCGCCCTTCCTCCTCGGTGCAGTCTTGCAGACGGTGCAGCCCGTTCAAAGGCCTGCTCGCACGGAGCGAGCGCTCGCGCTGCGGCAGAGAGCACCTCTGACCCTGCCGGGCGACTCCTGCTGCAGAAGCCTGCTGCTGCAAGTGCGCTGCAGCCAGGCGCGGCCACCTCGTGCCTGCCTGCCCACCGGGAATGAATGCATCTTCTGCGATAGTCACGGTCGTGATTTTTTTGTTCAGCGCGTCGCGGCGGCGGCCCCAGCGACACGCTGTGTCCTGCGAGCGGATCGCGTGCCGCTCCGCTCCGTGAGGCGGGAGGCTCTGAAACGCTCGGGGCGTGGACGCACGAGGACCGGGACGTCGTTGCTCGTGCCGCGTCGAGGCGTGGCGGGGCCAGAACCGGCGGCGCAACGCGATGCGTGGACGAAGCGTGTCGGGTCGAAGCGTGGTGGGCCCGACCGTCCGTGCACGCATCGGAGCGCATGGGCGCGTAGCCGAACGACGACGACCCAACGCGAGCGGGGGCGGCCGAGCGGAGGCCGTCGAACCCCCCTGGTCCTTGAACACCTCGGGCGCGCACCACTGTGCGGAGCCGCAGCTGGTGAAGGACTGCGTCTGCGTGCTCCTATGCTCGGGCAGGGGGCTGCCGCCTGTCCTCCTCCATCCGCAGCTGCACGTTGGGACTACTGCTCTCCTTCCGCTCCTGACCCTGTCCAGGAGGTGCTCCGCCCTCTCCGCGCACTGCTCTCTCAAACGCAGGACTGGACAAAAGGGGCATTCCTTTCGGAACGGCGCTGCGCTCCCGTCGTTCCGGCTGGCGCCCTCGCTTCAGCGCGGGCCCCCTTTCTGGATCCGGGTCCTGCCTCGGCGCTGTCGGCCCCCCCCTCCTTTCCCCTCCCCCGCCTGCTCTTGGTCTCCTGCCCCCCCCGCTTCCTCCACTCCGGTTCCCGCTGCTGCTCTTCGTCCTCGTCCTCGTCCTCGTCCTCGTCCTCCTCCTCCTCCTCCTCGTCCTCGTCCTCTTCCTCGTCCTCGTCCTCGTCCTCGTCCTCGTCCTCCCTTTCTCCTCCTCCTCCTCCTCCTCCTCCTCCTCCTCCTTACTCATCCTCCCTCTTTTCCTCCTGCTCAGCTCTTCCGCCTTCCCTTGGTCCTCCCGGTCCTCCCGCTCCTTCCCCTCCAATTCCTCCTGCTGCTGTTCGTCCTCGTCCTCCTCATCCTTTCTCATGCTCGTCCCTGTTCTCCTGCTCGTCCTCCTGCTCACCCGCCACCATCTCTTCCTTTTCCTCCTCCTCCTCGTCCTCCTCCTCTTCCATTGTCGCAACTCCCCTTCTTCCGATTGCGGATACCACGATGTAATCTTCTTGGAATAACAGGTCGGCTATGACACGCGTCCGGATAGAGAAACAACCAACGCAATGAGAAGGGATGGGAGGGATATATCGGATGTCAGATATGGCGAGAGCGCAGCTAGCTTGCCCTCCATCCTTTCCCCCCCTCCTCCACCTCCTCCTGCTGCTGCTCCTCCTCCTCCTCCTCCTCCACTCCTTTTGCTTATAAATAGCTTCTCCCTGTCGCACCCCGGGGTCAGTCTTTAGGACCACCCAGGCGTTTCGCCTCAGACCTTCTCACCATTTATGACCCTGAGGCTTAAACGTTGACAACGGTTTCAAAGATGGGGGGCGGGTCGTTTCAAACTGTGGCTCTCGCCCCACCGCCGCGCGCATTCGTTGAGGGCGGGTCGTTTTCGACATGTGGCTCTCGCCTCAGCGCCGCGCGCATTCGCTTTAAACATTGCAAGCGTTTCAGGGATTGAGGGCGGGCCGTCTTCAAAATGTGGCTCTCGCATTAGCGCCGCGCACATTCGTTTCAAACATTTGCAAGAGTTTCACGGATTGAAGGCGGGTCGTTTCCAAAAGGCGATGTGGAGTTCGGAAGACTTGTTTGGAAGGACTTCGGATTATGATGGCGCAACAGTTACGTTGATTCGCGGTGTTAGAGCCCCAGGAATGGCGTTCTGGCCCGATGCAGGATCGTCAAGACGAAACATTCCTGTTTATCAGTGGCGTTGAAACCCCGAGAACCATGTTTTGGCATGCTTCAGGGTCTTCAGACGGTTGTATTCCAACGAGGCAAGTCCCTCAATTCAGAGGGGGCGTAAGACCCGGGTACAGGGGACTCGGAAATCCCCGACGAGGTCGTCAAACAAATGACGAGGCCGAGCCTGCATTTTGACGAGGCCTCCCGCTGCAGACATCCCACGAAACTCCTACTCGTCAAAATCCGAGTCGCGGTCGTCAAAAAACGATGGCGAACCCGAGTCCTGGCAAACCCGGTCTTACGCTCCCCCGATCAATGGAAATGGACCGTGGTAGGGGCCTATGAAGCGGGAATTTGGTGGCGTGGTTATTCCAACATCGTTGCTGGCTCTTGGGTTTACACTGGTCCTCCTCATCCCTCATTCTCCCCCTCCTCTTCCTCTTCCTACCTCTTTCTCATCATGATTTTCCTCCTCGTCCTCCTTCTCCTCCTTCTCCTCTTCCCTCATCCTCTTTGTCGAATTCCTTCTCCTCCGTTTCTCTTCCTCCGCCTCCTCCTCCGTGTTTTTTTCGACCGCATGCCGCCCCCTGTTCGCGCCCCAGCGCGGGCTTCTCCCAGCAGACAGTTTTTTGTGCAACACATGATATGTAATATATCGATATAGATTTGTAGGAGCATATAACATAATCCTGGCGCGACGGTCTGCCAGCGACTCAACGAGTCCCGAAGCCTGCCGCGGCAGGGCGGACGGGGTTGTCGCTGGGCGCCCGTCGGGGGCGCGGTCTGTTGCCAGGCCCACCCCAATTTCGAAGGACGGCGTTGGACCGACGAGAGGGGGGGGGAGGGGAGAGGGGGCGGGAGGGGGGGAACGGCGGGGGGGAGGAGGAGAAAGGGGAGGAGAAGGGGGAGGGCGGAAGGGCAAGGGAGGGACATGGGAGGAAGGGCGGGGAGGGTGGGTAGCAAGGCGGCGACGACGACCCCGACGCCGACGGCACCGACGACGACGGCGACGACGACGACGACAGCGACGACCGACGACGACAACGACGAGACGACGGCACGGCGGAGATGGCGCCGACGGTCAGCATCGCCCATGTCCCCGCCGAGGGACAGGCGGTCGTTTCGGGGAAGCCCCTGGCGGCGGCCAGGCGGTCAGAAAATTGCCGGGAACAAATTTCATACATTTTCCCAGCAGCGTGCCCCTTCTGAGGGGGCGGTCGCGGGAGGCTTCCCAGCCACCGCCAAGCAGAGGGGGAGGTCTCCCGTCGCCACATCATCGAAGGCCTCCAGAATGGGTGGTCCTTAACGGCTTAAGGGTCCTTCGGCCCTCGGGCGCCCGCATCACCTCCCTGGCCCAGCCGCGAGCCGTGCTGCTGCGGCCACCCCCGTCAGAACGTCGGCGTCCTGTGCGCAGCGCTGCGCAAACTCTGTGGCTGGCGCGCCCTCCCAGGCTGTCCCCGCTGCGGCGTGCCGCGCCGCCTGCGATGCACTGCGGCACTGGGGAGGGTGCTTGACGTCCACTTCCGCGCCGTCGCACCACGGGCAGGTGGCCTCCGCCGCTCCGCCACTGCAGGAGGCGCCGCTGCGCCCAGGGCCGGATCGCGCGACAGGTCATGCGGAACTCCGCTCGTCCGTCGCGACCCGCTGCGCTCTGTCCGGCGGTATCGGGCGAGCTCGGCGGCCGCCCAGAGATCTTCGCGCCGCTGCAGCTGCGGGTCGACCGCCTCCACGAGGTAGCGCCGGACCAACCTCTTGCGCGCCTCCCGGCCGAGCGCCTCGGGAGGCGCTGCGGCCGCCGCCTCCGCCCACTTCCGGAGCGGTCGCACGTCCAAGCCGCCGGCGTGGTGCTGCGTCGCCGCTGTCCAGGTGGCCTGGGCTTGACCCACCAGGCGCAGCGCGCGCGGCGGGAAGGCGGACTGGGGGATGGCCGGGGCCCTGGCCCAGAGACCAAACGCCTGTCGCAGCGCGGTCGTGCTGAATCTCCAGGGCGCCCCGATCTCGGGGCGCCCATGCCCCGCGGAGCACCAGGAGGGCAGCTCCGCGGCAGGCGCCCGGCTTCACGTGGGCCCGCAGTGCCGCGAGCGCCACCGCCAGGGGGAGGCCGAGCAGCTCAATGCCCGCGAGGGTTCCGCGCCAGGCCCTCTGTGCCCGCTGCTCAACTTGCTTCAGCAGGCCAGTCATGGTCGCGTCGGGCCCAACGGGGATGCCCAAGGACGCGTGGAGGTCGACAAAGGCAATCCCATTGAGCGGCCTCTGGTCAGCGAGGCCTTGCGCCACGCACTCTGTCTTGCCAGGGCCCAAACGAACTTTTCTCGGATGCTTCGCGACGCCGCGCCTAGCTTGCAGAGGGCTCGGGAGAGGCCACCGCGGGAACTCGTTCTGTGGGCGTTGTCATCTTGAGCTGCGTCAGGTCAACTCGGACTGTGGACGCGACGTCGAATAGTCCGCACTGGTCCCCTCGCGTGGTCGCGATTCGCATGGCGTCGCCCCGTGCGAGCTCCCCCTGTGCGCAACGGCCAGCCGTCTCCTCGCACCACGCCCAGGACGGGCTGGCCTGGGTATCGTCGAGTTTGTCTCCGTATGGAATGCAACCACAGCTTCCTCAGGTGGGTAAGTGCGAAGCAGCGAGCTGCGCCTGCATAGCATGCCGACGCCAGTCGGCGTCCTTCAGGCATGCCTCCGGTGAGGGAGATCGTCTCCGAGACCGCGTCCCGGCCGACGACCCAAATCTGCGTGTCCTCGAGCATTTGGGCTGCAGCTGCTAGGTTTAGGTCGGGCCTGTCCCCCTACAGGGGGATTTTGGACAACAAATCAAAAATACCCTCCTCCTCCTCCTCCTCCTCCTCCTCTTCCTCCTCCTCCTCCTCCTCCTCCTCCCTTTCCTACTCCTCCTCCTCCTCCGCCACGTCTTCATTTACCTCCGACGTCTTATCACGCATCCCGTCACCCTCGAGGGCCGAGGTATCCAGGGTCGGCGGCAATGGCCCCTTAAGGCCTTAGCAATACCCCCAAAATCGTCCCCCGACTATTTTTGACTGTTTCTGAATACTCCCCCTGTAGAGGGACGGGCCCGACTTAATGCTAGGTCTTCTCCGAAGGGCCCCTCCGCGCCCTCCCGGGAGGTGGATGATGATGGCCGGCGTGCGGATGGTGTCGAACGCCTCGGCCTGGTCGGCGAGCGCCTCCACGAGCGGCAGGCCCAGCGCGGCCCGAACCGGGCGAGCTTCTGTGCTCAGAGGCGCGGGGATGAGAGAGCCCCCGCGGCCCAATTGGCTCTCGCCAGCAGGTCCCCAGTTCTCGTCCCCGTGGTGGAGGGCTCAGAGCTCTTTTTTTTATTCTAGAAAGGGAGACAACGCACACACCTGATCATTGTCCGACTCGTGCCGGGGAGTCGGCAGGCAACCCTGCCGCAGGACCGTCATCGCCCTTTCCTCTGGAGGGCCCAGAGCTCTTCTGCTATGCGGCGCTCAGCTGTGTTGGTGCTGAGGGTCCGGTAGCTTGTCAAGCGCTGCTGTGGCCGGCGCTGCTCCCTCTTGTGGAACCTCGGTTGGGTCTTCCACGCCTGCGGTGTGACCTGCGTCCGGAGGACGAGGCCGGCATGCTCTGAAGTGAGGGCTTTAACGGAGGCGTAAGGCAGCCCGGCCGCTGCCTTGCCCACCTTGCCCACCTTCCTCCTCCTCCTCCTCCTCCTCCTCCTCCTCCTCCTCCTCCTCCTCTTGCTCCTCCTCCTCCTCCTCCTCCTCCTCCTCCTCCTCGTCCCTCTTCCCCCTTTCCCCTCCCAAACCGTCATCCTTTCTGTATTCCCCTTCCTCTTCGTCCTCGCCGTTCTCCTCCTCCTCCTCCTCCTCCTCCTCCTCCTCCTTCGTTGGCAACAGACCCCGCCCCCCAGACAATCATCGCGCAATGTGTTTGCGTTGGGAAGCTGCCTTGGGTGTTTCGGTGAGCAGGCACCTCCAGGATTTGCTGGAAAGCGCGCCCGCCTGGAGAGCATTGGAGAAAGGGGCTTCACCCGCCCATCCGCCCGCGTTTGCCCCCGCGCCCCAACGGCGGGGCAACCGCGGGCAACCCGGGCACCGTGGGCAGCGCACGCGGCCACTCCGGCGAGCCCTCCCGCTCCTCCCTCCTTCTCACGCCCCCTCGTCCTCGTCCTCGTCCTCGCCCTCGCCCTCGTCCTCGCCCTGGTCCTCGTCCTCGCCCTGGTCCTCGCCCTTGCCCTGGTCCTCGCCCTCGTCCTCGCCCTCGTCCTCGTCCTCGCCCTCGCCCTCGTTCTCGTCTCTCGGTGGTTGCGGCACGGCTTGGGCCGACGGGCCCCCTGGTGGATGTTGCCAGCGCCGCTGGGGCTGTTGCGCACCCCCTGGCCCCTCGCCTCTCACTCCCCCCCCCACCCCTTGCTTGTCCCCAATCGGCGTGGTTTTCGTGAAGGGGCCCAGGGACACAACAATCAAGAGCCACACATTCAGGATGCCCCGTCGCTTCCACATGCCCCGGATGTTCGTCATCTTCTGTACTTTTCCCGTGCTCTCCTGGGAAATCGACATAGGGGAACAAAAAGTGGCATAAACATAAAAACTCGGAGGTCCGCGCGGATTTCTCGGATCGGCGCTGGACCCCTTTCCCTGGCGCGCGGAGCACGCCAGGGGCGGCGCTGGAGGCGCCGCCGGGGGGCCCCAGCGCCGATCCGAGAAATCCGCGCGGACCTCCGAGTTGTTATGTTTATGCCACTTTTTGTTCCCCTACGGGAGGTGTTCGTGCCTGTGTTCCATCCCCCTTCCGAAGTCGGCTCGCCCCTGCTTCTGCCGCTGCGCTCTCCTGCCCGTCGCCCGCCCGCCCCGCTTCCGCGGCGGGAGGTGTGAAGGGGGTCGAGGAGGAGGAGGGCGAGGAGGAGGAAGAGGAGGAGGAGGGAGGAGGGAGGACGAGGAGGAGGAGGAGGAGGAGGAGGAGGAGGAGCAGGGCCGTCGGGGGGCCTACGGGGGGAGCCCTCACACCTCCCGACGGCCCCCCCCCCAAAAGAAACCCCAAGAAGTGGGGCGAAGGGAAGGCAACGAACTCCCCCCTCTCCCTTCACGTGGTCGTCCACTGCGAAGTTTCGTGCTTCTCCCGGGGGGGGGAAGTGGACACCGAGGGCAACGTACCACGTTACCCTCGGTGCCCGTTCCCACTTCGTAGGGGGCAGCGTCTCACACTGCCCTTCACTAAAAATGGATGTCGACGCGTTCCGACGAGGTGTCTGGACCCCCGTCGCGGCGCGGCCCTGGCTTGCGCCTTGTGGACGATGCACGTGCTCTCGGGCCAGATAGTGGTCTCGCCCTATGCTAGATTTTTCGGCGGCGAGCCAAGAGAGGGGGCAAGTCTTCTCAAAGGCGGTGGGGCTTCTCAGAAGCCCTCGCGGCTTCTGAGACGCTGACTGTGGCTTCGGCCAAGGCTTACACAGCTTCTCAGAAGGCGTGAGGGCTTCTGAGAAACCACGCCGCTTTGGAAAACTCCTGACCCCTCCCACTTTCCCTTTGGGCTCTCCGCCGAACAGTGTTTCCAGAACAAATGCGTGAACATAAACGTTCGCAAGCCTACGCGGGTCTCTTGCATCGGCGCTGGATCCCCCTCCCCGGCGCGCGGCGCACGCCTGGGTCGCCGCCAGAGGGGCCGATGCGGGGGTCCAGCGCAGATCCCTCCCAAAATGCGCGGGCCTTCGAAAGTTTCTGCTTATGCTGGTTTTCTTTTTCGGGATGCGGAGGAGGGGAGAAGCGGGAGGCGGACGAGGGCATGCAGGAGAGGAGCGCTCCTCTTCGAGCAGCCGAAGTCCGCCAGCTTGCAGCAGAAGCTCAGGTCCACCAGCACGTTCGCCCCCTTGAGGTCGCGGTGCACCACGGGCCTGGGCGGGCGTGGGGGAGGGGGGCGCCGGGCCGTGGCGCGACCGCGGGGAGCGGGGCGGTGAGACATGCTACGTGTTCGACCGTGGACTCTTGGGCGGTCTTCTGGCGGTCTTCGGCGACCTTCGACTGTCTAATGGTGGTCTTCTGAGGGTCTCCGGCGTCCTTCGGTGGTCAGTGGCGGTGTCCAGCGGTCTTCCGCGCGAGAGCTGGGTGGTCGCGTCCGATAAGGGGTCCACGATCGAACGCCTGAGGAATGTTGCGCGGCCAAGATACAAACGACCCGTCTTTTCAGAAGCCAAGCCGTGCGGGCGCCGCCTGGTTACCGCTCGACAACACTCCAGTCCTCACCACCGCAAATCCGCCACCGTGCCCAGAGGCACGAGGTGGAGCACCCTCCGGTGCGCGCTGAGCATGAACCGGGCGTGCTGGGAACCCACCTGTGGCCGTGCCTCTACCGGTACGCCAGTGGCGTGCCAGCCAGACCTTAGCTATCCACTGGCAGACGAAGGTCACCCAAGGGGGGAGAGAGAGAGAGAGAGAGAGAGAGACAGAGAGAATAGAGGAGGAGGAGGAGGGGAGAGAGAAAGAGAGAGAGAGAGAGAGGAAGAGATCGGACGAGCAAGCGGGAGCCCCGTCGACAGCCGGCTATACTGCGGCAGCCGAGGCCGCCGTTGCACCCTTAGCGGCGGTGCCCACCTTGGTGGTGCCCACGCTTACCGTGGTCTCACCTGGGAAAAAGAGAGAGAGAGAGAGAGAGAGAGAGAGAAAGAGAGAGAGAAAGAGAGAGAGACAGAGAGAGAGAGAGAGAAAAGAGAGAGAGAGAAAGATATATACACATATATATAGAGAGAGAGAGAGAGAGCGACAGAGAGACAGAGAGCGATATATATATATATATATATATATATACATATGTATATATATATATAGAGAGAGAGAGAGAGAGAGAGAGAGAGAGAGAGAGAACCAGAGAAGGAGGGAGGGGAAGGGGCCGCCGGGCCGCCGCTGGCCCAGCGGCAGCACCAGCGCCGTCCTCAGAGGTCCTCGGAGTCCTCCGAAGTCACTGCTGTGGTGCCCTGTACGTGGCGCCCACCGCCCCGAGCTCGCGCGACTTTTTTCCCACGAGGCCAGGAGGCCCCGAAGATGCTCCCAGAAGGCCACTAAGAGGCTTCTCTAAGACGTCCAAGAGGGCCCCGAGACGGCCCAACAGCGCTCCGAGACGCCCAGGGTGGCCTCAAGCCAGAAGCCCCGGAGACGTGCCAGGAGGGCTCCAAGAGGCCCCTGAGAGACCCCCAAGACGGCCCCAAGACTGCCCAAGAAGCCGCCCAAGAGGCCCCAACACTGCCCAAGGGGGCCTCAAGACGGCCTGAGAAGCCCCCAGGACGGCTCAGGAGGCCTCTCAAGAGGAACTCAAGATGGGGAACTCAGACAGACATGTCGAGCCCTCCGCCCCACGATCACCTCCAGGACTGGCAGTAGGCCCCTAAGGGGCCCCCAGGAAGCAGGAGGCCCCAGCGCGCCCTCGAAGGCCCCCAACGAGGCCCAGGAGAGGCCTCGCCTCTACCACCCAGGCGAGGTGGCGGGATGGGCCGCCAGCCGTCGTATGCAGGTATGTCGGTGTGTCTGTATGACATGTGCATATAGTCACGCATGTTTAGAGACAGAAGAGACCGGAGAGCGACCATCCCTGCTCCGCTCGACAGTGCGGCAGCTGCAGTGCGAGTCGAGAGGTCCGTAGGCGAACCACGACAGCACATCCATATACGTAGGTGCATGTACAAGCATATGCATGTACACATACATATATAGGTATGTATGCAGGAATGTATGTATGTATGCATGCATGCATGTATGCATTTACATACATGTATGTATATGTGCATGCATGTAGGTAGGTAGGTAGGCCGGTATATAGTTGGATTGGTAGGTAGGTAGGTCGGTAGGTAGTTCGGTAGGTATGTCTTTATGTATGTATGTATGTATGTATGTATGTATGTATGTATGTATGTATGTATGTATGTATGTATGTGTGTAGGTAGGTAGATAGGTAGGTAGTTCGGTAGGTATATAGGTAGGCAGGTAGGTAGGCAGGTCGGTAGTTCTGTAGGTCTGTCTGTCTGTCTGTCTGTCTGTCTGTCTGTATGTATGCATGCATGCATGCATGCATGCATGCATGTATGTATGTATGTATGTATGTATGTATGTGTGTGTAGGTGTATGCATGCATGCATGTCTGCATGCATGCATGCATGCATGCATGCATGCATGCATGCATGTATGCATGTATGCATGTGTGCATGTGTGCATGTATGCATGTATGCATGTATGCATGTATGCATGAACGCATGTATGCATGTATGCATGTATGCGTGTACGTACGTACGTACGTACGTACGTATGCATGCATGCATGCATGCATGCATGCATGCATGTATGTATGTATGTATGTATGTATGTATGTATGTATTCTACATATGGGCGGGTCTGTGGCGATTCTGAAACCCTGAATCCCCCCAACATTGCATCTCGTGTTGAAGGGGCTCAGCGACACAGACAAAGCAATAGACACATATCCCAAGGTGTTCTATCTTTCCCGCATGTGTTGGAGGTTGATCTTCCCCTCCACGTCCTATCTTTTCCAAACTCTTCGGGGGAATCGACGATTCTCTGTGTCTGTGTGTGTGTGTTTTCTCCCCCCTTCCGGGAGCGTTCTGACCCCTTGGCCGCCCGCCCCGTCCCTGTTTTCCTTCGGCCGCGCCCTTCCTCCCTCCTCCACTTGCTTAGTGGCACAATTCGCTCCAACGGCATCCCCGCTTGAGCCTCTCATCGCCAGCGCAGTCACCCGCTGCCTAGTGAGCGTTTCTCCCATCCATCCTACGGTGTTGGGTCCTCGTTTTGAAGAGACGGCCAGGGGGCGGCTGCTCGGCCAAGAGCGCCGCTCTCGACGGCCCCCGGGGGCCCCGTAGGGAGGCCCGGCGAGCCGTGCCCGACGGCCCCTGCAGGGGCCCGAGGTCTGACGGGCCCCCCGAGCGCGCCGCCGGGCACGAGCGCTGCGGCTGTCGACCTCTGCGGGGCCTGTCCCCCTCACACAGGGGGATTTTGGACGACAAATAAAACATGTGAAAAAAACAGACAAACATACTCCAAACATTGTCCCCAGACTATGTTTTCACTATTTCTGGACTTCTGCCGGGCCTGTCCCCCTACATGGGGATTCTCTGGACGAAGAGTAAAACATCTATTCAAACATACGGACAAGATGCCCAAACATACTCCAAAAAGGGTCCCCAGACTATGTTTTCACCATTGCTGGAGATTCCCCCTGTGGAGGGACAGGCCCGACTTCTTTTTGGACATCACATACGGTCGGACCCGGGGCAGAAAAACACCCCTGAAGAACTTGAGGCCCTGCGTCGGCCAACGCAGACAGAACAGCCAAAGGCACCCTCCCCAGGACGCACAAGAACCGCCAGCCAAGCACGACGAAGAGCACTCGGGCACCCTCGCCGAACCGACCTCGACCTCGTCCCGACTGCGGCTGGAGATCTGGGCACTCGGACGCCGCACTTGCTTCACGCCGGGCGCCTTCGCCCGGACTCGGGCCCCAAAAGGCACCCTCGCATCGACGCGGCGCTCGCCTGGTGGCGCGCGCGCGCGCGCGCTGAGGCGGGCGCGGATTGTGCGTGTGGAGGTAGTCCAGGCCCTTCAGGATCCCGCGCGACGCCTGCGGGGGGCCCGGCGCCGCCCCGCCCTTGGTGCGCGGGGCGTGCCGCAGGTCGGGCATGTCCCTCCATACGGGCGGATCTGGGACGAGAAACAAAACAAGGCCCCGACAAATATTCAGACATGGTTCAAACATGCCCAGCGAATCGTCCCCGGACTATCTTAGGTCGATCGGGTGGATATTACTTTCAGACAGCACTCAGGCGGGATCGGCTCTTCCGTGCAATCTTCGCAAATGCTGTCCGTTTTGTCTTAACGTAACTCGAGCTGTAGAGAACTACAGAAAGGTCATGCCAATTTTCTCTACGGTATTCGAGCTGTAGACTCGCTATGAACTGAACAACGCTTTTTCGAAGGCTCCTCCTGCAGAGGGACGTGCCCGACTCTCGAGGCCTGCCGCCCGTGGCGCGCGCCGCGATCGGTCGCGGCCTGCCTTGCCGGCTTTCAGCGGCATCTACGTTGATAAAGTATTTTGAACTCCCCCCCCCCCTCCTCCTCCTCTCCTCCTCCTCCTCCTCCTCCTCCTCCTCCTCCTCCTCCTCCTCCTCCTCCTCCTCCTCCTCCTCCTCCTCCTCCTCCCCCCTCCTCCCCTCCTCCTCCCCCTCCCCCTCCTCCTCATCCTCCTCCTCCTCCTCCTCCTCCTCCTCCTCCTCCTCCTCCTTGCGAGCCTGGGGCGAGGGCCCCGCGCGCCCCCCCCCCGCCCCCGGGCGCCCCCCGAGGGCCGCGCCCCAGAGGCCCCCCCGGCCGAGGCGTCGCTCCTGCGCGCGGCTCCTCGGGTCTTCTGGGCGGCCCTTGCCCCTCTTCTGAGGGGTCCTCCTCCTCCGCCTCCGCCTCCTCCTCCTCCTCCTCCTCCTTCCTCCTCCTCCTCCTCCTCCTCCTCCTCCTCCTCCTCCTCCTCCTCCCCCTCCTCCTCCTCCTCCCCCCTCTCGGGGGCGACGACGTGGGGCGAGTAGCCCCGGGGAGGGCAGTGCGTGTATCCCGTGGCGCCGGTGGTCCATGCCTGCGGCGAGGCTGCCCGGGCGAATTGCGTGTGAACGCCCACCCCTGGGCTGTTCGCCTCCGTCGTCGGCCCCCGACCCCCCCCCCCTCCCTTCGGCCGCCTGCCCTTCCTCCTTCCCCGCCCCCCCTCTCCTGCATGGTGGCTCAAGCCGCTGCAAGGGTGCCTCCGTTTCGTTGCCTCATCCGCCAGCGCAGTTCCTCTGCCTAGCCGCCGACGCCAACAAAAGCTGGGCCCTTCCGGCTTTCGGATCATAAGCTGAGGTCGGGCATGTCCCCCTACAGGCGGGTTCTGGACGAAAGAGAAACATACCAAACAAATACCCCAAGCATACTCGAAAGTAGTCAAAGAAACGTCCGCAGACTATTTTCAAACTATTTTTGAATGTTCCTCCTGTAGAGGGACACGCCCGACTTAAGCCTGGCCGCCGACGCAGAAGAAGGTGACCCTCGTGGCTTTCGGACCACACATGCTCGAGGTCCCCGGCGGCCGTTCAGGACGACCCGCGGCCCCTCCGGAACTCTCTCGGCGAGGCGCAGCTGCTGGCTGCGCATCCAGAGGCAGGATCCAGGATCACCTCCAGGAAAGGCCCGAGAACGCGCGAAACCCCACTCGTGCGAGAACCTCTCCGAACGCCTTTCCGAACCCCTCCTGGGGGGGGGGGGGGCACCTCGTCCGAACAGGCTAGAACGTCCGAGGGCCTTCCCGTGAACTCTGCTGGACGAGCAAGCAGGAGCAGGGCGGGCCACTTCGAATGCAGAGTAGAGGATGTCAATCGCGACCGCCTGGGCGAGCATTTCTTCGCGCGCGACTGCGCATCCCGAAAGAAGGGCGAATCGATCGCCATCGGGTCTGAGCCCCAGGTGGGCAAGAAGGGAAACAGAAGAGGTGGGCGGAGGGCGAAAATGGGGAACGAGGAGGGGCCCAGTCATCCAGCGGTGTGAGTTTTCCAGTGCACTGTCCCCAAGCAAAATTCGAACTATCCCCCCACGGTCAATGCTTCCGTCCAAGACCCATGTTTGACGATGCGGGGGCCCGAAAACTCGAAAACAAAAATGGAGCTCAAGCATTCATCCTTCGGTGGTCCGGCCCCCGATCGGGCCTGGGGGTCAGCAGCTCGGTCCGTTTTTATTTCTCGCCCAAAAACCGCCTGTAGGGGGACATGCCCGACCTAATCCTTAGGGTTCCCAGAGCGGTGCGGCAACAGACCGTGCGATGGCATCGACATCCCCGAAACTGGGGGGTCACCCCGAATCCCCACCGACTCACCCAACCGTATGGTCACCGCACCGTTTTGGGACCCCCGAAGCCTGGGCCTCCCTGGGGAAGCTGCGGTCACCTTGGGCCAGGGCCACCTCTGGTCACACCCCTAGACCTCCGACAACTTCCTGGATTGTCTTTCCTCTGGAATAGTTTTTTGATGACCCCAGGGCCAGCAGACGGCCCCCTGGACGCCGAACACGGCGAAGAACCTCCGTCCAGAGTCTGTTGTCAAGACGTTGGGAGGTCTGGACCTCTTGTTGGCAAGCTGGAGTGGTCGCAGTTAATTGATACGGCGACTTTGGCTCATGCTGAAATATTGGGACTGGTATTTGTGCGTTTTTCATAGCAGCAAGGCTGCTTACTAGAAGTTCGACCTGATGATGATCATCGAGTCCTGGACGCAAATTGTTGTAACTTCACGCCGAACACTCATCGGTTCTGGACGCTCCGTCCAGGGAATGATAGGTATCGGAAGCGAGTGGAACATGGGCTGCAGACAATCGCACGAGTGAGGTGCTTCCAACAAGTGAACACGGCACGCAGAGACACTGAATCTATTGAGGAGGTGGACCCGCATTTAGTGCCGACTGGCAGTTTCAAGCGCTGGATGAAGCAGTTATCGGAGGCAGATCGCAAGTTGCTGTGCATCTATTTGTCGGGCGCCGTGACCTCCGAGACGAGACGCCAAAGTGGCAAGGCATGTTCACACTGCCAAGCCGTTTGGCCATCTTTCCGACATGTGTGGGCGGAGTGTCCAGATCAAGAAGACGTATTACACAGACTTACGAGTTACCTCAGCATTTTTGGACCTCGGTCCCGAAAGTCACCGCCAAGAGTGGATGGGTCACCCTCCAGCAGGCGGACACTCTACAAAGAAGAGCTGCAATGATGAAGGCCGCTTGCGAGATGGCCATTGAAATATTGCAGCTGGAGCCAAGTGAGCGTCTACATCCGATGTAGACATCTTGTACTGGGGCTACCTCATAGTCAAAGTGCTCTCAGACACCATCTTCTACGATGCCCAACATCGTGAATGGCTTAACGACTTCTGCATTCCCTCGACTCGAACTGTAGCTTGCACGACTCTTCCAAGTTCACATGAACGACGATCATAATTGGGTCTTACACGCGATGACGAAACAACCTTACGCGGTGGCTTACGCGAGCCGCCCGCGCGGCACGCCACATTTGAAGCGAGAGCGCTTACGCGCGACCTTGCTCGGGCAGCTTTTGCGCCAACGTCGGCGCAGACGACCCCGTATTTTTGCGTTACTCGCATGGATGTGTAAAACATTGGCTGGGGTTTCGTGCAATTGCACGAGCACTTTCTCGACTTATCCAACTTGATCTCCGCACTTGATCGCATAAGAGCCGTCAAGCCCTGAGGGGCAGCAGGGACAGGGAACGCGCCCGCAGCAACACCGAGAGTGAGTCCTGGTCAGGAGGCCGCCAGCGCCGCCCCGCAGACCCACACCGCCTGAGCCGGCCTCCCTCTCCGCCTTCCTCTCTCCTCCTCTCTCCTCCTCCTCCTCCTCCTCCTCCTCCTCCTCCTCCTCCTCCTCCTCCTCTTCCTCCTCCCCTTTCCCCTCTTCCTCCTCCTCCTCCTCCTCTTCCTCCTCCGCTTCCTCCTCCTCCTCCTCGTCCCTCTCACCGCGGCAATGCTTGGACAATAAGATGCTAGAGGGACCACAAGTACGCAATCGGCAGGATTGCGTTCACCGAGCCGTCTGTGGTCTGAGGCCCGAGGCTCGGCACAACACCAAACTGACCAGCAGGAGGCAACACACTGTTCAGCTGCTCCACTCCATCTTGTAACCGACACTGGCGCCATACCCTCGACTCCGTCACTCCTGAGCCACCTGCACAAGCTCGACCGCAACGAGAACCTCCTGCCGCCGCGATCCCCCAACGACGCAGCAGCTCTCCCCGCCGCCTCTTCTGTCTGCCCGAGGCCACGCCAGCGGGGAGAGGGATTGGCCAAGCGATGCTCAGCGACAGCCTGGCCTCTCCTTTTCCAGCGCACGCGGCGGGAACTCCCAGGGACCAGTCGGGGACGGGCAGCCGGCGGGCCGGCGCACGAAGGGCGGGCGGGCGGGCTGTCCAGGACGGCTTCGGCAGCGGACCCGAGAAGCCCAAGCTGTCGCACAGGGGGCCACACGCAGCAAGCGGCAGCCGAGCACGGTGCGCGGAGCCCGGAGGCCGCCGGGGAGCTCGCGCGCGCGCCTTGCGCAGCAGCGGCTCCTCCAGCGCCCCGAACTCCTCCAGGTGGGAGCGCAGGGAGCCCCCGGGCACGTACCTGCCAGTGGCCGCCATCCCTCCCGCCGACTGAGGAGGGAGGAGGAGGAGGAGGAGGAGGAGGAGGAGGAGGAGGAGGAGGAGGAGGAGGAAGGAGGAGGAGGGAGGAGGAGAGGAGGGAGGAGAGGAGGGGAAGAGAGGAGGAGGAGGGGAGGAGGAGAGAGGAGGAGGTGGAGAGGAGGAGGAGGATGAGGAGGAGGAGGAGGAGGCGGGAGGAGGGAGGAGGAGGATCAGGAGGAGGAGGAGGAGGAGGAGGAGGAGGATGAGGAGGAGGAGGAGGGAGAGTAGGAGGAGGCGGAGGAGGAGGGGTCGCCAAAGCCCGTCGGAGAAGCCCTCCACGGCGGGGCGGTCTGTGCCCCCACCCGCCGCCACCCCGGGACGAGCGCCCCCGGTGGCGGACACGTCTGCGCGACGCCTCCCCTTCGCCTGCCCAGCGAAAATTACGCGGGGTCCTGCTCGAGGCTCTCGAACCGCTCTCGGGCTCCCGCGGCCCTCCGCGAACCCCATGGGGCAGAAAGGAGCGGCTCGGGAGGTACACACACACATACGTATCTGCCGATCTGGCGTGTGAGTTTGTGAGAGCGTGGGCTTGAGCTCGCTCAAGCTTCGCTCCGGAGGGGGGGGGGGGGGGGGTGGGGCGAATTCCAACGCAATTCAGTGAACGCACACGCTCTAGAGAGGGGGGGGGGACTCTTCGCTCTGGAGAGGGTGGGGGGGACGAACTCCAACGGAATTCACTGAACGCACAAGCCTCAGGGGGGGGGAGAGGGAGGGGGGGGGACGAATTCCAACGGAATTCACTGGGGGGGACGAATTCCAACGGAATTCACTGAACACACACAGCCCGCGGGGGGGGACGAAATTCCGATAAGGAATTCACCTGAACGCACAAGCTCTGGAGATGGGGGGGGAGGGGGGAACGCTTTCGCTCTGATAGGGGGGGGGGGGCGGGGACGAATTCCAACGGAATTCACTGAAACGCACAAGCTCTGGAGAGGGGGCGGGGACGAATTCCAACGGAATTCACTGAACGCACAAGCTCCCCCGCCTCCCACACATACCCACTTCCATCTCTCAGAGAGGCATCTTCTTCTCTGACCCCCCCCCCGACAGCCCCCCCCAAAGAATAGACCGCCCCCCGCCCTTCCAGGACAGACCCCACCCCTCTCCGACAGACCCACTTCCCCCCTCTCCGAACAGATCCTCCCCCCCCCTCTGACAGAGATTTCCTTCTCCGACAGACCCCTCCCCTCTCTCCAACCACCACCCCCTTTCTCCGACAGACCCCCCCTAGAACAGCAGCACAAGCAGCAGCAGCAGCAGCAGCAACATCAGACTCCCCCAGTGTTTCTTGACAAATCTCTTCCTCTCTCCTACAAATATCTTCCCCCCCCCTCCCCGACATACACCACCCTTCAGGACAGACACTCCCTCCCCCGGCTCCCCTCCCCACACAGACCTCTCCCGCTTCCACAAACCCGTCCCCCGTCCTCTCCGACCCCCCTTTCTTCTCCGACACACTTGCTCTCCCTTTCTCCGATAGACTCCCCCCCCTCTTTCCC